CACACACACACACACACACACACACACAACATCTGAAACTGTTTTACATCTGTCACTATAGTGACGCACAGACATCTGTAGCTCCACCCCCTTTTTGAAAAGGAGTGCAATCTCATTTGCATTTAAAGCAACAGTCACCAAAACACCACAGTTAGGATCACAGCCTGAAAGGGTCAGTTTCAGAGAGCTGGAGAACATCATCTGTGTGCTGCTCTCAGCTCAAACACACACACACACACACACACACTAGACACAGCAGAGACGCATTCACAGCTTGTGGAAAGCGGCAGAATAGGTGCTCTTTATGATGTATGTGTTGACCTTTGATGCTGCTCCTGGAGGGCTGGTGTCCTGCAGGGTTTAGCTCCAACTTGCCTCAACACACCTGCCTGGGTGTTTCAAGTATACCAAGTAAGACCTTGATCAGCTTGTTCAGGTGTGTTTGATTAGGGTTGGAGCTCAAATCTGCAGGACACCGGACCTCCAGGAACAGGTTTGGTGACCCCTGCTGTAGAGCTTGTGTCTGTTTAAAACACTCTGAATGCTTTATATTCTGCTACAGACACACAGGGTCATCCTGCAACGGTTGTGCAGCACACAAAGTGTCCCAAACACTATTCTAACAGTCCAAACATGTTGTTTTTACTCTCTGATCGTCAAAACATGTTAAATATGCATTACAAAACAGTCAGGAGAAAGTGTCTGTTCAGAACACGAGTCCTCATATATATGGACATCACTTTTCTCTGAACGTACATCATAACAAGAGATGAAACTGAGCTTTTTATTCTAATTAGCTTCCAATAAGCCCACATAGCACAGAGAAATACAAATGCATGTAAAAACACCAACATTAAGAGGTTAACATGACACACTCTTCATTCTGCTGAAGGTGAATGACTGTAGGAGGCTGTGTGTGTGTGCGTGTGTCTCAGCTCTTCCTCTGATACTCACTGCTGTGTTTGTGCTGTTTTCTGCAGCCCGGCACCATGATCGAATGGGGAAACTACTGGTAAGAACACAAGACAGGCTCATCTCTGCAGTCTGAACTACACACACACACACACACACACACACACACACACACAACACCAAACTCTTGTACATACACTCGAGGAACAGCCTGTTCTAATATTCGCAGACGGGTTATCTAGAGCAGGGGTTCTCAACTAGTTTGGCCATGGGACCCACATTTTTACATGGTCATTAAGCCGCGACCCATTTGTATTTATTTGTTAACATACACAACTAGTGACATTATACATTTATTACATTAATTATAAGAAAATCACCAAGACTTACAAATAAACTATATTGTACTGCTGTTATTTAACAAAATGTATCATATTTTAGAAATATTACAGAGTAAAAATGTCAAATACTGTAAACAGTAAAGGGTTAGGGTAAGGAACGGTTCAGTTACCATTAACTAAACTGAACTGTTTATAAAACATTAACACTGAACTGAACACAAACCAGCAAAATAAAGTAAAATTATCAAAATAATCATAACCATTTCATAATAATCAGCAGTTATTTGCTGTTCTGCTTTTGTGTGGGCTTTCCTGACCTTTGCTACACGGTGAGCACTGTATGATGTACTTGTACTTGTTTTGAACATGAAGATGTTGGGCACTTTCGTGATGCCCTCAGCTTTTGGAGTTGTCTTGGAAAATAGTGCACAGGTTTTTCCTTGCAACTGGGATGTCTGGTTTCTGTCGTTTTGATTGAGGTTTCATGCTCTCTAGTGAAAGCACCTCACTACATATGACACACTGAGGTTTTAAGCCTTTTTTGTCGTCAAAATGGGGTAAAATAAATGCTCATTTTATATAAAGATGTCGCAGAAACGTAATGTAATGCAGTGCTTCTTGTACAATCTGAGACTCACTTTATATCAGATATCACTCACCAGTGGAGATCGCTGATTTAGAAAGAAAACAGACCTTAAACGCACCGGTTTTTGCGTTTCATACAGTTCGCCGAAAGCGCTTGTCCCAGGTTACTGGCAAATTAAAAGTCCCATTAGCAAGCTTCCGCATATACCAATGGCACAGTTGTCGCGCACATTTCAAAATAAAAGTCCGATATAAGCAAAATAAGTTAAATATTAGACTTTGGTTGTTTTTTTGAACATACACTCATTGAAAATGTTCCCGCGACCCAAAAGTGGGATTTAGAGCACTGGTTCTCAAAGAGGGGATCGCTTAGAGATTTCTAAAAATCTAATTTTCATTTGATTAAACTACTATAATGACCGTATTTAATCCATAACCAACAGAAGAATACAACAGCAGTTACTAATTTTATTGTTCTAATTGTACTTATTATTTTTAGTTACATTAAAAAAACACAACGCAAATAAAACCATCAGCCTTTCCAGATTGTGCGAGCCCTGAGGTGATGATGTAATATTAAAGGCACAGAACACTGATTTTAAAGCTCTGGTTAAACTTTCTGTCATCTTTACAGCACTCATGTACATTAAACACAAATACAGGCCACAACTGAACATGGAGGACGGTCTGCGGGTGGCGTTCTTCAAAATTCAGTGATGAATGACCTGGGCCTATTGGTATATGTGCGCCGGTGGGTCAGCTTTATACAACACCTCTGAGGATATTGGGGGTCAGTAGTTCCCGGCATTGTAATTTTAGGGGGGTCGCGAACTGAAAAGTTTGAGAACCCTGATCAGGGGTGCAGGGGTGTCCAGGAGGGCCGGTGGTGTCCTGCATGTTTTAGTTCCAACCCCAACCAGACACACCTGAAGCAGCAGATCAAGCTCTTTCTATGTGTACTGGAAGCTTCCAGGCAGGTGTGTTGAAGCAAGCTGGAGCTAAACTCAGCAGGACAGCGGCCCTCCAGGACTGAGTTTGGACTCCCCTGATCTTGAGACACTTTAACACGGGTCTCAGTCTGGACTCCTGGAGGGC